CCCTTTCCCTCACCACTCCACGCCACTCCACTTCATTCAGTAACATCGCCTCGCTTCTTGGATTCACTCTCCAACATCACCTGCGCTTCCTCTCTCTCGCCTCCAGCAGCGATATGAGCAGGTGCGTAAGAAGCTTGCTGCAATCGCCTTCTCCTCTTCCCATTTTACCTTCTCTCAACGTGCATGCGTGCTATTGCTTGCAATATTTGTGCTTATGCCTCCTTTGCTCCACCGCCACAATCACAACACAACACAAAACACAACACATCCATGCATGTGCCGCTTTGTCCCTTTGTCTCACCCTTCACTCACTTTTGCTTCCTTCCCTCTTCCCTTTGCCTTTCCACATTCCATGTGTTGCATTGTTGCTCTGCACTTGTTGCCACATGTATGCTTCATTCACCCTCGCCTCTCTCCTTCCCTTCCATCCACTCACCGCCACACAGCACCTCTCCACACAACATCACACATCCTTCACTTCACTTCACTTCACACAACACAGCACCACAACACAACCCATTGTGTGCATTTGTGCTTCCCTTCGTCCCCTTCTTTCACCACCTTATCACCACAAGCCTTGTTTGTCCATTTCACCTGCGTTCCACCACCCCTCCTGTCGTGTTTCAATTCTTGCCACTGCTGCTGTTGTTTCCATGCGCTCGCATGCCTTCCCTTGTCCATGTTCACTACTTTGTGCCGCCACTCCTTCCCTCCCATTCCCCTACCTTTCGTGCCTCGTTCATGTTTCATGCTGCATGTGCTACAGCACATCATAAACCCATCAAGCCCACACTGCCGCCTTCTTCAACATCAGCCCTGTTCACATCCACCACCACCAGTCGCTGCCATCATCACTCGCTTCATCCTCCCCCCTATCCCCACGCTCACAGCAGCTGCTGTCCTCACCTGCATGCAACACCCACTCCACAGCCACACGCCTAGCTCACCACCAATCCAATCCAAGTCACAACAACACACACCGTGTTGACTTCACTGCAACCACCAACACCCATCCACCAGCACCAGTATCACACGATACACACCGTTGCACATGCGTGTTGCATTGTATATTTCCACTTCACTTCAGCAACACGACAGCAAGCAAACACACACACACACACATGTGGAAAGAACAAGCGAGAAAGCATCCCCATATCAACTGCAACACACACACACAAACACACACAAAACAAGCGACAGCTCCATGCTATGTCACACCGCTTCAGTCCCCCATCAGCCGCCATTATCACCTTCAGCCAACAACAACAACAACAACAGCAGCAGCAACAGCAGTGTGCATGCTGTGGCAAGAGAAGAGAGAGAGAAAGGAAAAGGGAGGGAGGAAGGCAGAGGGATACAAGGAAAGAGACGTGCACGCTGTCAACAACAACACGCACACAACATAACACAATCAACACCACCCGCTCACGCTCCCTTCCTTCTCCAACGAGGCGCATGGCCTATGGCAGCCCACGTCTTGCTTGCTTGTCCTGTGCCCATGCTTGCTCGTGTCCTTGCTTGGTTGTGCGCGCCTTGCCATGGGTTCCAACAAACAGCCTGCACTTCCCCTGCACAAGCGTCCATGTGTGCATGTGCGTGTGAGGGGATGACAAAGAGGGAAGGGAGCAAAAGAGGAAGAAAAAGGGGAGAGATGGGAGGTGGGTGAGCACAGACGATGGTGATGGGCGCACACGACGTGGCTGTGGTGAACACACACACACGCAATCACACACGATCACACAAGCACAGAGAAGCAGCAACGCACAACAGACACAACAGACACAAACAGGGGGGAAACAAGAGCAGCAGCGGTGCAATACACACACACGCACACACACACGCACCAAGGGAAGGACATCAGCCAGCCAGCATCATCCAACACCCCTTGCATCCACTGGTCTATCCATGCACCAGTGGGGGTGGCAGCAGAGGGAGGAGAGAGACGGAGAGAAGGAAGAGTGTGCCTTGCCCTGCCTGCCTGTGTGAGGATGTGTGTCTGCACACCCACTCACTGTGTGTGTGTTTGCGTGTGTGTGTCACCACCAACACATCCACACACATGTGTGAGACAGAGGGAAGCAAGCAGCCACCACACACACACACACACACATACAGTGTGAATCGCAAGCAGACACAGCATGAACGACTTGCACACAGTCACAGTCACGCACATGCAAGTGCAACGCACCGTGAGGTGGCATCAGACTGCTGGGTGTCAGCGTGTGCGTGTGTGTGTTCACACGCGTGTGTGTGTTCACACACGTGTGTGGGTTGATGCAGCCCATCATCCCTCTCTGTGTGTGCGTGAGCCAAATACATCCACAGCAGCAGGAGTGCGTGTGAGATCACATCACCCACCACAGCCACGTCCACCTCTCCCCCCTTCCTCCTTCACACACAATCACACACCCACACAGCGGTCAAACCAATTGACAGAATTCGCCCAAACTCACGGTGCCAGCGTGCCATGGGCCTGTGCAGCACATATGTCAGCCTCACCGACCGTGGGCAATGCCTTGCGTGCCTTTGGCCCTGCACACATCCATGGTGTGGGCGCTGCTGTGCGTGTTCTCTGCTTGCACCTGTTCACCATCACACCATCACCCACCACGCCCCACACAGTCCATGGAACCAAACGAGACCACCCACAACAGAACCGCCAGTGAGTGCCCGTCACAACGCGCACCCTCTCCCTCCTCTCCACCAACCTTGCGCCAGCCACGCACACGAACAACGCAACCCACCACCTCCCACTCAAACACGCACTCACCTTGATTCGCGTTTCGCCTGCTGCTTGCTTGCTTGTTGTTGGTCTTGTTGGTTCGTGTTTGGGCGATTGTGGAAGATGCCACAAATAATCGCCCACTGCTGTGTTTGTGCGGCAACTGCTGTTTGCTTTTGGCTTTGGCTTGTTGAAGGGCGGACTTGCTTGGTTGCTTGCTTGCTTGCTTGCTTGCTTGGTTGAGACAAGAAGAAGGAGGGGGAGAAGGGGAGAAGAAGGGGGACAGTGTGAATGCAACGCAGGTTCACATGCCTTGCAGGCTGAGGAGGGAGAAGAGAAGGGGAGAAGAAAAGGGGGGGGGATGGAAAGAAGAAGAAACAGCACACACACACACAGTTGTGGACAGCATGCACCCCTTCTCCTCCCTCTCTTCTCTTCTTCGCTTCCTCCCTCCTCCCCCTTTCACAGGCACAACAGACAACCAACAGCCACAAAGGGCTGGAAGAGAAAACAAACAAGGGGGAAGGGGGCAACAGCCACCCAGCCAGATCGCCATGGAAGAAAGCGGCGAGGCGATGGAGGGGGAAAAGGAGAACACCGTCCATCAACACACACACGCACGCACATCTGTTGGGAGCCCCACGTCTTCTGTCCTTGCTTCCTCTTCCTCTTCCTTGGCCTGGGTTGAGTTGGGTTGGTTGAGGTGGCACAGCTCGCCATGGCGTGGCACGCGTGGATGTGGGTGTGGGCATGGGTGTTGGATGTGGATAGGTTCCTCTCTGTGTATGAAAAGGGGGTTGGAGGGAATCAGTGGAATGGGTGGTGGCAGCAGAGAGGAGGACGAAGAAGAAGAAGAAGCAAGGGGTGGATGTGAGCATGCCATGCGTGAATGAGCAACAACAGCGACACATGGGGCGCAATGATGATGGTGTGCTTGGTGTTGTGCGTGTTGTTGTGATGGCACAAGCACACAAAGGTCAACCACACACACCTCGTCGTCGATCAACGCATCTGCCTGACATATGCGCACACGCGCACGCACATCTGCAGTCACACACACACACATGGCATTACAGAATGAGACAGCGCACCATGCACACGCATGCACAGCAATGCAACCACCACAGCCGTCACAACGACAACATATCTCTCCCCTCATCTCCATCCCCAAAATGCACGGTCACATGACCAGGTGCACAGCCGTGGTGGTGATGATGGCCATGATGAACGCCTTCCTCCCACTTTCCCTCAACCCCTTCCACCAAACACACACAGCATTGCGTGCCCTCACCTCGTGCATCGTGTTGCAGTCGGCGTGGTTGATGGCGATGCACACACATGCACACACGCACACATGCACACACATCGCTGTGTGTCCTCGGTTGAGATGAGCAACGGAGAGGGAGAGAAATGGGCGACACGACACGATGGCCAGTCAAACCCAACTAATCCAATCCAGCATCCACTGCCGTGTGTTGCCTGCTGCAGTCATCATCACAATCACACAATCACACAGGTGCAAGCAACAGGAATGAGCCGCTGATATATGTGTCATTGTCATGTGATATTACCACCACATGACATCACGTGCATGTGCACACGCACCCCCATCCCTCAACCAACATCATGCCCCACCTATCACTTTCCTTCCCTCCCTCCTTTCGCTCTGCACTCCCACATCGCCTCATCACCATCACCACCGCCACCATCACCGTGTCACTTCCCTCCTTCCCCCGCTTCCCACCACTCGACACAACCCAGCCCACCAACCAACCAACCAACCGCCAACGATCATCCTCACCTGTGCTTGATGCAGCCAACTAGCCAGCCGATGTGTCACAGCGAAGCCAGAAAATGGAAGCGCAATCACATGCCACGACCACCATCGTCATCGCTGATGGAGCAGAAAGAGGAGATGACAGGGGAAAAGTGGTGGGCACGGGTCGTGTCCTTCCTTGTCTTCATCGGTGCAGCCCCAAACACGGCGCACAGCGCACATGCACGCACGGCCATCATCACAGCAGCAGCAGCAGCACAAGCAGCGAGCCAGCCTGCGTGCCTGTGAGGCAAGAAGAAACCAACCAGAGACGAACAACAATGACCGGTGATGGTGAGGACATGAAAGGAGGGACACAAGGGACCACGCACGGGAGCATGCATCATGTTGTGGGCGGGTACACCAGATGCACACAAGAACGACGAAGCAAGCGCCCAACAAGCAAGCAACCAGGCACACGATATGTCACCACCACCGCCACATCCACCACTGCTGCAATACCTGTGTTGGCCGCTGTCTCGATCACGCCTCAACAGCACCACATCGCATGGTGAAGGCTGATGATGATGATGACACAGAGCAAAGACGATTAGTTGGGAAAAGGAGGAAGGAAATTTGGTTGGGGAAACCCGCACACCTCCGCCTGCAGCCACGCACACACGCACACGCACATTGAGTTGTGTGATTGGTTCATATGAGACACATGTCAGTGCAACCACCCCACAGCCAATGACTGCTCTGGTGTGTTGGCATGCATGTGTACATGCGTGCGTGTACGTGCGTGCGAATGAGTACTACCACCCCATCACCGCACACACACACACACAGCGGCAGCCTCTCACCTTGCGCCTTCTTTTCTGGCACATTCGTGTGTGCGTGTATCGCTCTGGTCGTGTCATGAGGGCTTGGGAAGAGATCGGTCACCGTTGAGCAAATCACACACATGTACACATGCGCAAGCACAAACAACCAAATCAGCAAGAATCACACCACGCAGTGAGCCAGCATGGCAGAAACAAACCACGTCCACCTCCTTGTGCCACATTCACATCACCCACATCACCACCTGTGCACGCACATTTCACATCCCCACACACAGACACCATGACCACCGCCACAAGCAGCACATCTGCACATGCGTGTGTATGTGCCGTCTACATCCACCACAAATCACTCACCACCACCATCATCGTCGTCGCGCGAGGCGACGGCACATCGACGCACATCACATCCTGTGTGCGTGTGAAGAAAGAGGTGAGTTGTCACACAATCAGGCTGTCAATGACAACAACACCCATTGCCACCACCAACAGACCCAACGACATCCAAGCAAGCCTTCACAATCACACCCACACATGCTGATGTTCACACCCAACACATCACACACCACCCACATCACCACAACCACCACCGCCATTCATCTCACCTCCACATCCATGGCAGCAGCCGCTGCTGTTGGTGACCAGTGACGACGACGAGGGAGGTGGAGATGGACGATAGACAGATGGCCCGTTCATCCACAATGCAGCCACACATCAGCTGTTGTTGCTGCTGCTGGTGGTGGAAACGGTGAAAACAAACGGCCCCTTGCCACGCCGTGTCCTTTGCTCGCTCGCTTGGCTGCTTGGTTGGTTGGATGGAAGCGGGATGCATGACCCTGTGTCCAAATCAATCGAAAAGGGGGAGAAGAAGAAGAGACACATGAGTGGACAGAACAGACAAGGAAAGATGGAAGCGAAGAAGGAAGCACAACGTGTCAACCACACACACACACACACACATCTCAGTCGCCCTCTCACCTTCATCACTCGTCATCGTCATCGTCGTTAGTTCCACCGCTTCATGCGCCTCCTCAACGCTGTGAAACGTGTGTGCACGGACACAAGAAGGGGGAGAATGCAGGGGAATGAGGTGGACAGCGAAGCATCATCAACCACCCGCCAGCCCCATCCAATCACCCGCACTGATACACAACCACACGCACACATGTTGTCCCCACCACCACACGCACGCACACACACATGCTCACCTCTTCGTCAGAGCGACTGACATGTGCAATGTGTTCCTCACGCCAGATTGGAGCTGGTGTCGGCCGGGTGTGGTGTCGGCTGTGCGGTCCATGGCGATGATGATGACGGTGGTGACAGCGGAGCTGAGGTGGAAGAGAGAGAAAGGAGAGAGAAATGGGGAAGGTTGATGATGATGCTGATGGGTCGTTCATGGCGGCTTCCTTGCCCTCTTCTGATGTGGCCCTGGTGCGCATGCAACCAACACACAACGACAGACACATCAACACACACAACACACAGGCGTGGCATGGGAGCACGGCAGACGTGTTCACCTTCCTGCCCCTCCTCTGCTTTCCTCCTCCTCGCCCCACGACACACACACACACACACACACACCTGCGCATAGCTGCGTCGCTGTGGTTGGATGTGCCCACCATGACCATGGACGTGTGTGTGTGTGTCCACAGCTGCTCCTCCCAATCCATCATGTGTGCACCGCCAACCATCCTCCAACGATCCTCACGCAGTCGCTCCCCTGCAGCCACAAGCACAAGCACACACGCATGGCATGTGAGGTGCACAGCTACACTGCTGCACGAGGCACAGCATCAGCAGCAACAGCAAACACTCACAGCAGCAACAACGCCAACACATGCACCATGTGCCAACCAAAGTATGCATGATGGGCTCACCTGGCCTTGCTCACGCATATGGGAACACTGCATGAACACAGCAGTGACAGCCGAATCGGGGAAGTTGCAGCAGCAGCAGCCGGCATGCGAGCCCGCTTCCAAGTGATGTGTGCTGGTACCTCACCACCTGTGCATATGTGTGTGTGTGTGCGTGTGGTTGCAGGGAACGTGGATGGGAACAGAACACAATAGGCAGACAGCAGGCCATCACGTCAGCACAGCAGAACGAGTGATTGACGTCACACGCACCACGTGTGATTGTGTGTGCGTGTGCGTGCGTGTGTCGGTGTGCGTGACCATCATCCCCCATCAACCTTCTTCCCCTTGTTCACTTCACCGCACCCCATCACCACACCCCCATCCCCCACCCCATCACACAACCAACCAGCCAACCACTCATCACCACCCACATACCATGTGTGAGGCGAGTGCAGCTGGTACGCGTGACAAATATCCTCGACATTTCCCTCATCCTGCTTGTGCGTGCGCATCACCTGTAAGTGTGGTTGTGTGCGAGCACCAGCATGGTGAGTGAGTGGGAGGGAAAGAGGGAGCATGGATATGTGCGCAGCTACACTGCTGCTGTCGCTGCTGGTGTTGTGCATGCAGGTGTGAAGAAGAAAGGGAAGAGAGAGAAAACAGACAACAGAAGGGAAGGAACAAGACATGCTGCACCCCATCCATCCATCCATCCCTCTTCCTCACACCACCACCACACACCACCGTCCTCTGTCACCAGCCAGCCAGTCACACCACACCGTACTCACCCAGCATCCCCCACCCCACCTCATCCATCCATCCATCCAACACACATCTCCCCTCCGTTTTCCCTCTTCTTCACGCCCTCACCTCTGCTGCTGCTGCTTCCAACCGAAAATGCAACTTGTGCTGTCGCTACCTGTTCCCAGCTGCAAACAGCCAGCTCCCAGCAGCAGCAGTGGGCGATGGGTTGGTTGGTTGGTTGGTTGGTTGGTTGGAGGGATGTGTTCAGCGGCAAGCGGTGGTGGTGGTGGTGGTGCTGCTGCTGCTGCTGCATTGGCGGTAGAGGGTGTGTTGGCTGTTGTTGTTGTTGTGATGGCCGTCAGGGAGGGCGAGAAAGAGCGGGAAAGACGAGCAGTGGCTGCAAGTTGGAGAATGTGCAGGTGTGCAGGCAGTTGTGTGTGAGAACGAAGAAAGAGACAGCGCATCAAGCAAGGCAAACCAGGCAGCCGCACGACACACATGTACACATTGATGTGGGACAACAAGGGGAGACAGAAGCAACAAAGACAGCGAGCACAAAACACGCACACTGGTGTTGTGCGCAGCATACACATGCACATGCGGTGGTGCACTCACGTTGCTCATCGCTTGCTTGTTTGTGGTGTGAGTTGGTGTGGCTGCTTCCACAGCCGCACAAGGGTGGCTGGATGGTCATTACATGGCAGCGCCCGTCTGTTCATCCCACCAGAGCAGTGGTGGAAGGAGATGGCAGCTGCTGGCTCAAAGGGCCCTCTGTGTGGCGACAGCAGAAGGAAGGGGAAACAAGCGTGGAAGTTGATGGTGGTGGTGAGGATGGGAAGGGAAGGATGTGAGCAAAGACACAAGAAAATGAGAGGGTGGTGGCGACGGCGTGTGATGGGTGGAGAACAAAACACGCACGTCAACACACACACACACACACACACACACACACACACACACACACACAAACACACACACACACAAACACGCACACCTGCCACGCGTTGTCGCCACTGAACAGGTTGATCCTGGCAGACTCCACTGCTGACAGCAGCACATACCACAGTCATGACACACGAGTTGGCAGGTGGTGAGAGTGGTTGAATGGACGTGGGAACAAGGGAGCAACGCACACACCACACCACAAGCGTCGCCACACTCACTCCACAACTTCCTGTCCCAACAACACACTCCCTCACCTGTGTGCTCTTGGGTGGAGAGGGACTTGAAGAACTCCTCAAACACAAACACAACGCGTCTCTGCATCATCTCCACCATCTTATCAGGGATCAACCGCAGGATCCTCGGAAGCTGAACACAGTTGTGTATGTGTGTGTGTATGTGTGTGTGTGTGTGCGTGCGTGTGTGTGTGTGTGTGAGAGAGAGAGAGAGTGTGTGTGTGTGAGTGTGTGTGAGCGACGTGACATGCAAGCCATCACCAAACACAATCCCCATCAAAACACATCACCCGCTCACGCATCACTTCACATCCCCATGTCACCGATCTGTCACTGCACCTCGAGGAGCCTGTGCTCGGGAATGCGAATACTGAACGTCTCCCAGTCCAGCAGGTCCTGGTAGGGCTGCAAGCATGCGAAAAGCAAACACCACAACATCACATTGCAGCACCATGAGTGACGGGAGGGTACATCTCCACACACACACACACACACACACACACACACGAAGTGTCATTCATCCATACGCACCAGCACGTAGTGGTCGACGACAATGACGGGGATGGCACCCGCAGCCATGATCTACCAGGCATGAAAGGGGGTGACAGGAGGTGGAAGGTGGTGAGACCACGCACAGGACCGAAATCGTCTGCAACACACACACACACACACACACACACAAACAAACACACACACACACACACACACACACACACACACACACACACACACACACACACACACACACACACTCACACACACACACCACACACCTGAAGGAGGGGTAGCAAAATCCTTCGACGATGAGCCCAAACTTGGTCTCCAGCGCCAGCTCCGCGTATGTGTACTTGTTGAACTCTTCCTCTGCCTGCTTACATGACGGGTCATATCCAACCTTCCCCCTCACGGCCCATGCGCTCTTCGCCAAACCACCGGCACGCGCACACCAACATAATGTCCCTGCGCATACACAAGCAAACATACAAAGAGACGATGTGTGTGTGTGTGTGTGTGTGTGTGTGTGTGTGTGTGTGTGTGTGGTGGATCCAGACAGACACGCACACAGCACCAAAACCAGCTGACTCCGAGGCAACACAACGCACACACACGGAACGAAGTAACACACCAGATCGCACACGTAGCGCGACACACCTGCCATTGTGCAGCTTGGGGAGGTGGTTGCGCATGGCATCAAGAACGAGCAGACGTGGTAGTGCCCCTGCACAACAGGAAAGAAGACACACGTCAAGCAGCGGCACCACAACATGTTTGGAGTGAGATTGCATTGGGACAAGAGGCGCGAGTGGTGCTGCAGTGAGCGACACCAACCCTCTCAACCCAGCAGCAGCAGCAGTGAACATCGAACCCCACATCGCACCACGTCACAACACGCACGCCTGCACAGACCTGAAGGTGCTGACGAGGTATTTCCTGCTTGTGCGGGTGGAACGCGTCGCTGCTCCGGTTTGAATGAATGTCACCATGGAGAAGAGTGGGATGGACACATCGAGGCCGTCACGGTGGTGGAATTCACTCAGGCCAACCTGATGCAGGTGGTGATGAGAAACAAGGCGGCATTGGTGAAGTGTAAGCAACAGCAGTCGTCGATGGTGAGCGCAGGCACGCACAGTCATGTTCGAACACACACACACACACACACACACACACACACACATTGTACCTTTTGCAAGAATGCCGTGTTCTGCATGCCAGGGAGACATGGTGCGTCGCTGTACTCAAAACAGGATATGGTAGCGGCCCTCGTTCCAATACGCAAGTCTGGCATGCATCATCACATGTGAGCATGTGAGCGTGTGTGTGTGTTTGGAAGACATCCATGAGCGCCGGTCCTCTCGCACGCACGACATCAAGATCCACAAGCACCACCAGCACCACAGGCAACAACAAACCACCACCTCAGCTGGAGAGATGGCGTTCGATGGCTGCGCTCACGGGATGCATCGACTCAATGTTGCCAGAGTACGTGCCGTGCATGCAATCTTTCAGTCACAAGCACGCGAACACAGTTGTGAGGTGGTGGCGGTGATGGTGACGGCTGTGGAAGCCCGCGCATCTGCACCGACGCGACACACAATCACACACACACACACATACACACACACAGACACACACACACCTTCACACACACACACATACACACACACCTGCACACCAGCACGATATGTCTGTGCATGGGACGAAGAGGCAAGCCCTGGACAAGTCATCGGTGCTGTACGGGCCGTCACGGATGGCGGTTCGGATGGCGCGGTAGATGGCTGGCAGGGACGGCCTCTTCATCAGCAGTCAGAGGGTACACGTACACCTGCCATAGATGCACGCACGCATGAACACGTAATCATAACACACAGGCAGACAGAGAGTGTGAGGTCGTCATGCTTCGGTTGCACTCCATGCCACGCCGTTGCTGTTGCTGTTGCTGTGTTGGTGGGTCTTCACCTTGAACGATGGGCACGTGCGAAGAGGATCGACGGATACGCCGTGCGCGGTGATCGCTGACATCAGGACCGCCATTGGCAGTGCGATAGTGCAGCGGCATCTCGGGGCAGTGCGTTCTGGTAACAGTGGTGGTTGTGGTGACGATGGGTGCGTTTGTTGTGTGGTGAGGTGCGCGGATGAAAGGGGATGGGAGGAGTGTTGGGAGATATCTGCAACAAACCGCTGCACGCACGCACACGCACACACACACACACACACACACACACACACACACACGCACTGTGTGAAAGAGTGCATTCTCTTCGGCAGACATGAAGCTGTAGAGACGAAGCCGCGAAGAGAACCGCACAGAAGGATTGCAAGGCGATAGCGAGTGATGAGTGGTTCAGTGTGTGCAGGTACACACCAGCAGCATCATCATCATCAGCAGCAGCAGCAGCGGCGTCGGCCGCAATGCACCCGCAACAACAACACAATTCGGTGGTCGCACCTCATGTCACCATCATCCTTGTGCCGGAACAGCGTCTCCCCTTCCTCTCTTCAACTTCCAGGCATAACCTGTGGCCCAAACACGCACGAGGAACAGAGATCAGGACAACACATCGCAGCACAAGATCAAACGATTGCAAGCAAAGAACAGACAGCAGACGCATGGAAGAATGACCACGTCGACGTCACATATTCACACACGCTTACACATACAGTGTGCGCATACCTTTGAAAGCAGTCGCTCTGTCCCGCCATGAGCAGCACCTTGCCAATGTCACTAACACTCTGCTCCGTCGACGCAACCAAGGGCATCCAGTGAATGGCAACCTGGTCGGTGACGGTGGCGAGATGGGCGTTGCAGTGAGCGAGGGAATGTGCGCAGGAGTGATGAGCCGTCATCACACGGTTGCCGAGCGTAACGAGAAGCACACACACACACACACATCGCTCACTGTCATGATGAGACGGGGGCATTCCATCATCATCCCCAACACTCATGTCCAGCGAGATGATGCCGCGCAAGCGGGCTGTTGTGGGGTGTGTGTGCGTGAGGAAACCACGTGTGCAAGGGGCAGGTGATGAGCACTTACAGCGTGCATGCCATGTAAACTGACTTGATTGCAAGCTGGGGGATGAATGATGTGTGACTGTGATCACGACAGAGGACTGACCGATGTCAGCGCAAATGCTGTGATTGCTCACCCCTGTACCGCTGTGGAGGTGCGTCCCACTCAAACGTGGCCTTCTGTATTGCTGGTGTCTTGGTCTCCACCACTCTCAGTTGCCGATTCCTGTCTGTTTGTTGTTTGCGTGCGAGGAAGAGACGATGCAACCGTGAGAATACACGTGCCAACAGCAGCAGCACCAGCAGCAGCAAGGCAGCAGCAGTGACAGCAGGGATTGTGGTTTGGATATCGGATCACCACCGTGCACTGATACACACACACACACATGCACAACATACACATGAGCGGAGGTGTGATTGCACCCACCTCGCAGGTGGCCGTGAGTGACACTGCTTGTCGCTTGCCTTGTGGTGTGCGTGTGTCAGCGGCACGTGTTGCCAGTGCACTCTCAAGAGCGTCGTTAGGTTTCTGCAGGCCACTGCCATAACCAACCACAAGAGAACAGCACACATGTTCACGTTAGCCAAGCACAACAACGACGACCTGACGACGACGAAACCACCACTTTCAGCAGACCCACAGCCCCCTGCACACATCCTTGTGCCACAAGAAGAAGGAAAGAAGGGAGTTCACAAACACACCCACAACAAGACAGCAACAGCAACAACCGACAGCACTGCCACCACAAACAGGACACCGCGTCCCACGTTCACATACTTGGTCGCCTGACGCATGGAGCGAACGAATAGTGCCCAAGAAGAAGAAGAAGGACAAGAAGCAGAAGTCGAGGAAGGAACAGTGGGCATGATGTGTGTTGGCTCACCTGAGGATCGTTGACATGACACCTGTTTTGTGTGCATGTGTGTGTGTGTGTGTGTGTGTGTGTCTGTGTGTGTGTGTGTGTGTGTCTGTGTGTGTGTGTCTGTGTGTGTAGGTGTGTGTGTGTCAAAGACCTTTCTTCCACATTGGTCTGGTTGGCTGTTGGTGACTGGGTAGCGATCACCAACAATCTCCTCTTGCCCTCTCTCACATCTCTCTTCTCCCCCATGCTGCTGTTGCGGTGACTGCCACATCACCCCCACCTTCCTTCCTTGCCTTGCCTTGCCTCGCTGTGTGCAGCAAAGAGAACAAGAAGAAGAAGAAGAAGCGAGTAGGCGAGTGAAAGCGAGTGCAAGCAAGTTTGGGCTGCTGCATCTCCACAGTCGTGTCATCGACTGATTTCAGGTTTCCCCGTCTTCTTCTGCACAAACACGCACAACAGCCGTTTGTCGTGGCTGGTTGCGCGCCATGCACGCACACCCGCACACACACACACACACACACACACACACACACACACACGCACACACGCTGCATTCGCTGCGACGAAAGGAAAGGATGTATGGGGAGGTGCGGTTTGGTCACACTCAGCCACAACAACAACCACAACAACAGCAGCAGGGAGCAGCAGGGAGCAGGGGGATATTGATGATGATGACAATGACACATGCAATCCATCAATCAATCAATCAAGCAGACGAGCAAGCAGGCAAGCGAGCAAGCAAGCCAAACAAAGGGACATGTGTTCATTCACTCCGCTTGGACGAGCGACACGCCCACCACGTGGTGCGTGCGTGTGTGTTGTACTCACTGCTCTGCCCTCCTTTACACGGTTCCTCCCTGCCTCGCAGTCCTCTCTCCCTTTCTTTCCTTTGCACACCCCTTGCTTGACCTGCTCTCTGCACACCCTCTCTTCTCCACTCCCCCCCCCCTCACTCACACGTCTCAAGTCACCTCCCTCTCACCCCCTCCCCCTTTGCCTTTGGCTGCAACGCTGTGCGTCTTCATCTTCACCACCACCATCTGTGT